ACCAAAAATTCTTAGCAACCACAAATTTACAAAGATTTTTTAGGGGCAAAACGAACGGAAAAAACGATGATCATTACATGGTTAATAGGTTTATTATTGATCCAGTTAACATGCAGTTCTCTTGTTGGTTCCGAAGAAGAGATTCATGAAAAGCATCGCTTCAACTATGAGGTAATTAGTTATATTCTCACTGGAATTACAAGTCCTTTTTTTGAGAACTTTCTTCATAGTTTTTCGACAAAGTTTAGGGTGTTTAATTAGAAGTAGTAATAATTACTGTTCAATTGTTCGGCTACGATAATTGGCAAAAATTTACTGCAAGCAAATAGGAGGGAGAAATTTAAAAATTAGACAGGAAAGAAAAAAGTTCAATAAACTTTTTCAGAATATGTCATGGAGAGCTGTAATTAGCATGAATAAAGCATCTAACGACATCTATCACTGGATTCCGATCCGTGTGGTTCGTGCAAAACAGCAACTTGTTGGCGGTGTAAAATACCTTTTAACAATTCTAGTCGCAAAATCAAATTGTACCAAAAAGGTTTGCTGATATTTAATTAGCACCGTTTCAAATTTGAAGCTTGTTGTTGTTTTTGTTTCAAGCTATTATCGAATTAAGTTCTCTGCAGAAAAAAATGATATTCTTTTTTTATTTTTTAAAAATTATTGATAAAAATTAATGATTTATTAAGCAGAGAGAAGAAACAACAAAAAGAGTTTTTTTCAGGCTGTTCAACATGAAGATATAAAAGATGCTTTATGTATAGCAAAAAGTGGAACGAAACAAAAAGTAAAACTGATAAGTCTTTTTATAATATTCCATTTTTTTTTTTTGCTTTTTTTTCTGCTACCAACAGCAGTAACAATTTATTTGACCATATAGTTTTACTGAAAAAAAATGCTAAGAGTTAACGAACTGTACAATGAAAAAACAACTTTTAGATTTGCAAAGTTGAATTTGTCAGTCGTTTATGGGAAGGTTTTGAGGACATTATTCATAGGGGATGTAGTGAATACCAAAAAACTGATAAGTCACCAAAACGGTAAGCTGTTAATTTTTAATTCGAGTATTGTGCTTTATTTGTACAAACAGAGTTGACTTCATTCCTAATTTCGTTTATTCTTTTTTATTTTTTGTTTTTTGAGGATTATTACACAAATTTTAAAAAGCCACTATGCAGGACAAAAGGGAGGTTCAACGAATCTGCACGGAGGAACCGCAACGCAAGTCCGAAGAAGGGCGATGCTGCGAAGGAAAAAAATCCTGACATCAAACTTGAAGATCTTGGTACCTGGAACCTTTTCAACATCTTTATTGAACGGTAATTATAATGCAATGGAGAAGCAGTTTGATGGCGAGATGTGAAAGTTTTGTACGACTAAACGTCAGTGTTGTACTTCAGACACAATCGAACGTACACTTCGAAATCAGAATTAATGGAACGTTTCCGTATCTACAAGCGAAATATGCAACTTGCGAAAACCTATCAGGCTCGAGAAAAGGGGACAGCTGTATACGGGGAAACACCGTACAGTGATATGTCGCAAGTAGAATTTCGAAAGGTATACTCCAGTAAACCATATATAAAGTTGTGAATTTATTCTTTCATGAAAATGCTGTCCTCGGTGTTCCAAACAGAAAAAACTTTAAGTAGGATACAATTACAGATGGTGTTGCCTTATATATGGCCACTGAATCATTCTGAGAACAATGTGGTCAGTTTGGAAGTATTTGGTATTAATGCCGTAAAAATTCCAGACACCGTTGATTGGCGCAAAAAGAATGTTGTTACAGGAGTGAAAAATCAAGGTTTTTTCTTATTTTATCGGCAACTAATGTTGTTGAAAAATTTCAGCAAGTTGTTTAAGAAAATGAATTAAAAATAAAAGAAAAGAATTAAAGCGAGAAATATTTTTTTGTTTTATAAAAACGCTAAAATTTTTGACTGTTAAAACCGAAAAGTTTACAGGTTCATGCGGAAGTTGTTGGGCATTCTCAGTTACCGGCAACATTGAAGGTTCTTGGGCATTAAAAACTGGTCAGTTGATATCGTTGTCAGAACAAGAGCTTGTAGACTGTGATGTGATTGACCAGGGTTGTAATGGTGGACTTCCGTTAAATGCTTACAAGTTTGTTCATTCTTTACATTTCAAACATCAGTTTATTCACTTTTTGTGATTTCACAAATGCTTACTGTCACAATTATAAAAAAAACAGCAACTTTTTTCGTTTTCCAAGCGTCAAATTTGCGTATGGGATGGGATTATTTGAATGAGGAAGAGCGGGAGAAGGGGATAATGGAAAGCGATGAGGAAGGAATTAAAAAGGGAAAAAAAGGGAAGGGAATTTTGCACATATTTCCTTTATTTATTGCATCATAACTTTGCATTTTCTCATTTACTCAATATGCTTACTGTTTTGCAGTTTTTCTTTGTCTAGGCTTCATAAAATCACATTAATCTGTTTTTAAAGTTCATAAGTTTGGGAAGAAACAGTAAAAAGCAAAAAAGAATTGAGGAATTCTAAAATGGGGAAGAAAAAAACAAAAATTTTTTCCAGGGAAATTATTCGAATGGGTGGACTCGAAAGTGAAAAAGATTATCCATATTCGGGTCATGGTCATCATTGCAATCTGGTGAAAAAGGAAATTGCTGCTTACATCAACGATTCCGTAGAGTTACCACACGATGAAGCTAAGATGGCTGCCTGGTTGGCCAACAAAGGACCAATTTCGATTGGTAAGTCTTTAACTCTGTTTTGAGCGCCTATTTGATGAACAACATTGAACGGTTGGTGAACTCGTGCTGTTTGACGGGAATCTTTAAAAATGATCTTCTGTGTCGTTTTTTGTGCCAAAATTATTACAGGTTATGAGTATTAATTTATTATACTTTTTTCCTGCTTTTCTTCTTTGTTTCATACTGTACTAACAACATAATACTGGAAGACACATGTAAAATATACATAACAGCATAATAGTATATATATATATATATATATATATATATATATATATATAGGCAAAAATGCTAACTCAAGGCGGATACTGGATAAGACTGTTGCAATAAACTAAAATAAATCACAGCAGGATTTCAAAGTTTAATGGTGCAGACTGACACTGCTGCCCTGTATAGATAGAAAGGAAAACAGAAAAAAAGTTTTCAGTTAATACCATTTATTTAGGCCATTTATGAGGGGTTTGAATTAAGCAAAAAAAGAAAAAAAATATTTGAACGGCTTACGTACTTTCTTAGACTATTTGAGATAAATGAAGTAGAAGTTTTTTAAATGTTTGAAGAAAGACTGATATATTTCATCTATTTTCTTTTGTTGACCAGATATTGTCATCTGTTTTTGAAATCAAAATGTTTTACTTAAATGTGTCTAAAAGAAAACCTTAGTCGACTTAAAGCTTCAGTGCAGTCAGATGCAAAATAGACATCATTATATACATAGATTACGTGCTAATTGAAAGTTAGCGGCATTTTTGGTAAAACTTTTTTTCTAAAAAAGCTTGTTTTTTCTTCTCGCTTTTTTTAAGATCACATTTAAGTGATCTTTTGAACTGCATTTAAAAATAAACCAACTAGTCTTGTTGATTTTTCGGCTTTTTCTTCTTCTTTCAGCTATTACTTAACAGAATTAAACAGCTTAAGTTTTTGGAAGCTTTATGTCATTTTTGAATTTGACACATTCGAAAGTGCCAACAAAATATTGTTTTTATAGAGTTATAGGCTCTGTTATTTATTTATTTTCCGTTTGTGTAAAGGGAACAGGAAGAGGGCATAGGCAGAAGATGGCAATTATGACAAGACAGGTTAGAGCAACAAAGTTGTTTAGATAGCCGTCTTTTTACGGAATGAGGATTGAAATAACAATTTGTGGTTAAGTTCTAGCTTATTCACTTGTATGTACATCAAAAATTTCTTAAGTAATTTCACATACTTGATGTTTTTAGCTGAAGCTTTGAGCAGTATAAGCTTAATATAGCAAAAGTTTGTTCCATTATTATAGAAATTTGTCATTTGCCAGAGTCTGGAGCTTTTGTATATCAGTCTTGGCATTTATGGTGCACTGTAGCCTTCAGCTACTTGATGGACGAAAAAGTAGACGAATGTATGACAGGAGTTTGTTAAAAAACACATAGTTCAGCAAGTCGATTCATCTGTAGTGATAATCGAGCAGTTCTACCATAATCGCCACGTCGGCCATAGGAATTTCGTCGTGATGAACCACTGCTGACCGCTTTTTGCATTAGCATACTTTTGGCATAACGTTTTGCTGCTGCTGCAGATGCTGCTGTTGATAGATGGTAAAAATTTGTTTGCATAAAACGATTTTGCGGAAATTTGCTGTAGTACAGAGAGGCTTTTCCTGTATCATATCCATAGCTGTTATCGGGTGTTTCATATAGTGCAGGCTTTAGTAGGAAGTCGATGATTTGAGTTTGTGTTGCTTGAAACATCCACTTGCAAAAAATAATTAGTTTTTTAATGAAGTTTTGATAGATGGACGCTGAAATGTGGGAGTAAAATAAATATACATGTAAAAAGTTAGGATAAATAACACAACTAGTTTCTTTTAGTTTAGAAATCTAATGATGTATCTGGATGTATACGTTTAATTCTATTACTGATCTCATTAAGGAACTCACGTCACTCTTCAATGTCATTTACATTTCGTTCTTTCTATTTGAGTAGAAAAAAAGCAAGACAAAGATAGGAAGGTTGGAAGGAAAAAGAAAGCGTTATTCTTAGCAGATCAAAGAACAGATGTAATTAGAAATAGAATCTGGTTTTTTTTTTTTCTTATTGCTATTGCTGTTGCTGGTGCTACTACCGTTGCTTTTGATATCGTTTTTTTGGCAATAATGGTGAAAATATCGGTGCCGAGAATGGCAGAGTAATGTTAAGCTTGACAAAAAAAAATTAGACTTATCTTTAAATTAACGGGTTAAGAAGAAGCTAGTGATCTATGATTTTCTTATTTTTTTTATATTTCGTTCTGTTTTTTCCTTCTAGAAAAAAAAAAAAAAAAGAAATGTAAAAGAAATAATTGCTTTCTGCTGAAATCAGTTTTCAAGTCGCTGAATAAGTTTCAGTATAAAATTTGTTTGTATTAATTTGCTTTCAATGTTGATTAGAAAGTTCAACTTTTTAGTGCTGCTGTCAGCAGTTTGTCAATTCAATGTGCACAGTCATTAGGCTTGACGAACAAATTGATCTAAAACGTAGGGGAGTTGGACGGAAGAGGGCTGGGAAAGAGGGTTGAGAATTAACTGCCGTTAGCTTAGATATTTGGCAAATATATACAAACAGAGCATTTGGCATGCTTTATTGGACTTGGATTTTTGCTGGAGTTTTTTTTTTTT